TGTGTGTGTGTGTGTGTGTGTGTGTGTGTGTGTGTGTGTGTGTGTGTGTGTGTGTGTGTGTGTGTGTGTGTGTGTGTGTGTGTACCTTTGAGTCTGCGTGACAGCTCTCTGGCGAACAGCACGTTAGCCAGTTTGCTCTGGCAGTATGCTAACCCGCTGTTGTAGCTGCCCTGGCTGTGAAGGTCGTGGAAACGGATCCAGCCGAAGTTGTGAGCGAGAGACGAGACGACCACGATCCGAGCGGGAGCGCTGCGCTTCAGCAGACCAATCAGCAGCGACGCCAACAGGAAGTGCCCTGACAAAGGTAACACACTTTAATAACATCACAGTAAATACAAGACTCTAACCGTCAAATTCTCTTGATAAATTGAATTCATGTATTATTATTATTCTGGGTAAGAAAGAGATCCTGTTGACCAAGAACTAAAAAAGTGAAAAACGACTTTTAATTGTTAAAATTGTATATTCTACACTTACCCATATAAATGGATAGTTGAATAACTTTTAAGGAAGACTAAAGCTGTCATTTTAATACATAATTAAATGCCATCATCATTAAATAAATGTGCATGCTAATTAAATTAATGAGGATATGAATAGTGAAAAAATATGTAAAATAATACGGAAATAAAAAACTTAAATAAATTAAAGAATACATTGGAAAATAAATAAAAATACGTTATTGTCAAATAAATATATGGATTTTTACATTTTCTATTTCTGTGCATATTTATTTACTTTCAAATTAACTTTCCTTAATTATAGAGAAAACTATTCAATTTATTTCATAAAAACAGGCACAATGTGAACAAATTGCCATTTTAACAATTCTGAAGATTAATATTTGGTTGTTGTGTTTAGGACTAACGTTGGTTAAGTAAATGTTAGTGGGAAATAATATTAATATATAATATATTGATGCCAGTTTTTTCATATTTTCGCACTATGGAAATCAGAGAAACCTTTTTAAAATTGAAACACAGAGGTTACATTTAATTTCTCACCTAAATGATTGACTCCGATGTGCATCTCGAAGCCATCGATGGTCTTTGTGTACGGGCACATCATCACCCCCGCGTTGTTGATGAGGATATGGAGCTGGTTGACCTCTGCAGAAGAGAACATCACATACATTAAACAGGTGATCAAATAAAAACAAGGTGGCGCTCTGTATGTAGACGTCACTCTGTATGTAGACGTCACTCTGTATGTAGACGTCACTCTGTATGTAAACGTCACTCTGTATGTAAACGTCACTCTGTATGTAAACGTCACTCTGTATGTAGACGTCACTCTGCTCACCTGCGAGGAACTTCTGAGCGAAGGCCCGTATGGAGCAGGTGTCGGCGAGGTCGAGCTGCCGCACCTCCACCTGAGCGTGAGCACACGACGCTCTGATGCTGTCTGCTGACTCCTCCCCTTTATCTATGTCTCTGCAGGCCATGATCACACGAGCTCCTGCAGGGGGAACAAGAGAAGCTAAACTATGAACACAGAAGCTGCATTAATACAGAGAAGAGAGGAGGAAAGAGGGAGGGGCTTGTGCTGGAGCAGGAAGACATTTATATAATTTATTAGGGTGTCTATAAGGATTTAAAGGTCACCTATCAAGCTATTTCTAGGCAATAGCATAGGTCTCAGATATATAAAAAACATGTCTATGAAGTGTTTTGCTCAAAATACCAAACAGATCACCCATTCTAGCCATGCCTCATATCCCTCTATTTCACTTCCTGTTTCAAAAGTGATGATTTGGGGATAAAGCTTTAAAAAAAAAATAATATTGATAAAATAAAAAAGGAGGGGGCTGAACTCATGCGGGACCCGGCAGCTACGGTCTAAACTAAATCCTGCCGTGATGAAACGCCATATCATGGATTATCAAGGATTCTCTCTGAAACAGTATGGAGCTCAAAGGCTTTCTCTCTTGCCGGTTATACCACAAGGTGAGTTCCTTTTTACTTCCTGCTTCTTCACACACATGCTCTCCAGTACAGGTTAGCTCTGAGTGTTAGCGATGCTAATGTAAACACCGACCATATTACATCCAAAACAGTCGGGCATTGTTTCTGATAGCAACGTTTCTGATTGGGCCGTGGGTCCACATTTCAGATATTACGTCATATCGGACGCAAATCTGGATCAGCTCCGTTGTAGCCCCGTTTTTAGAGAATTGGGTACGGAGGAAAAGAGAGGGTTTTATTTTCTGACGCTTCGTGAGTTCCCCGACACACCGGGGACACATGTTTATGTAGAAAAGACATCAAAAAGTGCATTTTGCATTATAGGTCCCCTTTAAAGAGGAAATTGGAATCACATTCAGTTCATGATCTCTAATTATTATTTATTTACGTGTATATATTTCCCCCATCTGTTGGCTTCTTATTGTTTTTTTAAATATGTTTTTGTTTATTTTTCTGGTTTTTGTTTTGTTTTTTAACTGGATCTTATGCAGCTTTTTTGCATAAAAAAAATAAATGCAGGAAATTATTTTTTCAGACTCAATCAACGTGTCAGTTTTATTACCAAGTAGATGTACACATATGAGGAATTTGCTTTGGTATATGTGGTGCATACAAAGACACAGAAAGAAGAATACGTAGCAAAACTAAATCAAATTAAAATTGGTCTGTTATGACAGCTATTTAAAAAAACTATTATAAGACTATAATATATACTGTATTTAAACCCACATCTTATGGCACTTCTAAATCAAAGCATTACTGTTATACCATGGCAAGGACTACCAAGTCTAATACTGGGATTTAGGAGGTTCGGCTAAAGCAAACACACTGACTTTGTTTTAAATGTCATTGCAAATCTACCAAATAAGCCCAAATATATACATTAATAGGTAAACAAAAAAATAAACTAGAAAATAACTTAAGTGGATAATGAATTGGATAATTGAAAAACAATGTATTTATTTCCAAATGTAACTGTACACTTATTTGATATTGTGGGCTTTCAACTCTACATGTTTTTATTTTATTTATCTATTTTCCTATTTTTAAATTGATAAACGTAATGACACCTCACCGAATGTATAAATATGGAAATAAATATAGTAAAAAAATTAAGGAATATTTAAAAAAAAGAATTGGGCTAATATTTATTTTTCAATTTCTGTGCCTATGTATTTGTTTTCAAGTCCATTTTATTTATATTTGTATCTATTCCTTTTTATTATAATAGCAAAAATATTATGTTTTTTTTTGTTTGTAGATATATAATAAATCACCTCTCACTGCGAGTTCCAGGGCCGTCTCCTTCCCGATGCCGGTGTTTGCCCCCGTGATGAGCACCGTCTTCCCCTCCAGAGAGACGGGGGACCGGCACACTCCTCCAGCCGCATACTTCCTGTTGACCAGAGGAGGAAGTATATAAATATATATCCTTTAAATACGCCACACTGTGAAAACACTCTGATAAAGTCATGCATTGATGATGGTACCAAAGTAAAAGTATGTGAGTGTAGTCGGGGAAATGCACTTAATGAAAGGAAAAGTACTGAATGCATTAAAGTGACTTTATATTATATCATGGGATTATTACTAACCATGCATTAAAGGAAAGCAGGATTTACTGTTGTTCGAGGTGGAGCTCATTCTAACTTTTTGTGTTTCGGGCTGCAACAACTTCTTATTTTTTGATAATGGATGAATGTGCTGCTCATTGTTGGGATTATCAAAATTCAGGGAATAGTGAGAAATGCTGTTAAAATTACCCAAAAGTGACACCTTCACAATGCTCGTTTTGTCCAACCAACAGTCCAGACCTCAAAGATTATTAAACAGAAAATTACATAATTAAAAAGGAAAAAGCAGCAAATCCTCACATTTAAGAATTCGGAACCATGACATTTTTTTGCAAGAAAATGACTTAGGGTTGTATGTCTGGAAGAGCCAAATAATAAAGTGTTCATATCATATTTATTATTTTAAATAGGGATTTGTTGAATTAAGTACAATTGTATCATACCAGACTTTAATATCATATCATTTATTATAGTGCTGGGCGTTATACCGCTTCATCCCCAATACCGTGAACTTTAAACCCTACGATATGAATTTTTCATATACCGTTGAAAAAGTGGCAAAGTGTGCTCGAGCGGTGCGACAGTGAAAAGCGTCCCCTGGTGACTCCTTTCACTGTCACACCGCTGAAATGCATGCAGTTTCAGGGAAGGATGGGATTTGTTTACATTTTCAAACAGTGCTTTTGTTGTTATGTGGTACGCAAACATTACATTTTGCAGCTGATCAGGTGTTTTTTGTGGCGCCAAAATATTTAATGTAAACACATTTCGGATCATTGAAAAGTAAATAAATACCGTGATATCGTTATAATTTGGAGAAATACCGTCATATGTGTTTTATGACATACCGCCCAGCCCTATTTATTATCATACAAAATAGTGGCCAATTGTTTGACTGTTAGTCGATTAATCAATACCTTAACTGTGCTTTTTTGGGACCTTTTGAGTGCAAACGTGTACATTTGGAAAGCTGAATTTAGCATATAAAAATCAAGCACATTAGGGTTAGGTCATAATTCAATAGTGATAATCCCTTTCATGGAAACGTATAATGGTCGTAATCAGAGGTGGTAGAGGTACTTTGATGTTATACTTGAGTAAAAGTAGAAGTACTCAGATCTTGTACTTAAATAAAAGGACAAGTACCACAGTGTAGGAATACTCTGTTACAAAAAAGTCCTGCATTCAAAATGTTACTCAAGCAAAAGTACAAAAGTATTATCATAAATCAAAATATATATAATATACTTAAAGTACCAAAAGTAAAAGTACTCATTAATCATTTAGTTCCACCACTGCTGTTAATACACAGTAACCTTTATATATACTGTCTATGACAGTAACACATGGTGTGGACATTATATAAGAGAAGTCCTACATCAGACACCATGTGACTGAGTAGCAGCCTCCTCTGAAGCCAGTGTGAGTTACTGTGTCCTCATTATTATGGGACATATGGACGTCCTTTCTTAATTATTCACAGAGGCAAACTTGGATCCTGAACGCACACACACACACTCGGCGTCAGGTCGTACGAGCCACGCCACCGTGCAGCAGAAACCAATGGCTCTGCAGGAGTAAGAGCTCTCCCAGAAAACTCCTCCTACACTCAGCCTGCTGATAGGCCTGACTCTGTGCACAGATAAAAAAAACTACCATCATTCTATTTAATTGATTTTCCAACAAAAATATCAGCCAGCGTCGTGTGAAATGTGAAAAATCCTCAAAAATGGCGAGAGCACAGTGTTTTATGTAATGTCACTTCATCGATATGATTACATCAGTGCAATGCAAAGCCCTGAGTGCATCCGTGCTATGTGTGTTTAAATAAATGGATTTCAATTAGAATGCACGAGTGGTTTAATTGCATTCTTACCTTATGTGTGGAGCAAATAAAATGACCAGCAGCGTCACCACTCCGAGCCCCGCGACTATCACTAAAAGCACCATCATAGCACGGATACCTTTCTGTCTCCTCCGCGGCTCTGTGGGCTGAACAGCTGATGTCAAAGCAGAGAGGGTCAAAGAGCTGCCGCGAACTGCATCATGGGATTGTAGTTTTTATTTTTTATTTGGAATATATATTTCAATTTATTATATCATACATAGGAGGATGTATTATAAATAAAGCCATTCAAGAGGGAAAACTATGTTGACTATAAATGAAATACATACGTGGATAATGAAAAAAGTAAAGCAAAGATTATAAATATATATATATAAGAAATTAAATAGTTATTTAAAAAATAAAAATATATAGGCTACTCGATATGAGATAAGATTTACTTTTTTGCCCACAAAGGGGAAATTAAAATAAATGTTAACCAAGCAGTCGAAAACAAAACAAATTGATGGAATAGATAGGATTATATTAAATATATCCTCCTGGGACCAAGCCCATTGATTACCATGCATCTCCTTTTAGTCTTTTGAGGTACTCTATCAATCTCTGATGTACTGTACAGAGGACATCCTGGGCTTTCCAGTGATATGTCATTGGTTAAAATTGCATGCTGGGAAGTTCCTCTTTCTTTTCATCCAAAATGGCTGGCATACCAAAAACAACATTTTATAGAAGCATGAGGAGAAGTCAAATATTGTTGAATAATTGTTATTTTTTGTTTATTAACATGTGAGGAACTATATAATTAGTTCTGAAAGCAATTAAATAATTCAAGTTTGGAAACAACAGCTCTTTTATAAATGTCCATTCGAGTGGACCGTCTTCATGGACTCAATATTGTTGCAGGAGACGGAACTGAAGCAGACATTTTCTGTACCAGATAGTTCAGCGGAATTCGCAATTTGGAGCTAGATGAGAGAGATTAGGATTTCACACCTGATAGAAGAGGGTCAAGAAGAAGGGGGGGGGGGAGATGCAGGAGGCTCCATGAGTGTACAGATACAGACAGAGACATGGGACAAGCTGGAAAGACATGTCCCTCTGTGGGCCAAGAGTAGCACGTATGTCTTATTGTTGTTTTTATTTTAAGCGGAGCCATGAAAAATGAGAATTGCCTCAGGAACGCCAAGATTTGTTTCTATGAGCTTGGTCAAATGGAGACCACAGCATAAAACTAGTCAAGATGACCCTACAGCCCGTGCCGACTGGAGTCAATGAGGTACTTTCCCACTTTTCAAGTCCCCGACCAGACCTAAATATGGAGTGTGGACTGATACTTGGAGAGGTCCCAGTTCACCTCCTGCCCTGCCTATAAAATACAATACTCAAATTTGACATGTTTATATGAGGACCCCCTTAGTTGTTGTAGAAATATTTTATATCAAATTGTTTTCTATTTAACTTATTATACTAAGATTATTTTTGTAATCATGCATGGTATTTTTTTAATTAACCTTTTTATTTATTTTTTAATCTCATGTACCCCCTGCAGTACCCCTGCAGTACCCCTAGGGGTCCGCGTACCCCCATTTGAGAATCACTGCTCTAGGAAGCTAATTATAGATTATCAAGGAGAAACCAAAACGGAAGCAATTCTACAATACGCCTAAACAAAAACAAACAATAACATTTAAACATGACAATCGTTAAAATAAAGTAAAATTGTTCACATATAAGTAGTAAAACACATATTTTAATACATTACGTAGTAAAATTGTTGTGGAGCGTTCATAATTTAGTTAGAAAACTTCATTTCCCATGATGCACCGTGTAAACTGTCTGCGTAGTGCCTGGATAACGGTTGTTTCAAAATGTATTTCGTCAACATATGTTATAATCTGTGTACGTGTTATTCCTATTTGGTATCTTAAATGTAGTTTATATTCCTATTCTATGTTTTAAATAAATAAAACCGAGTTATTTTTATTTTTAATCCGGAGTTTTTGCCGTTGTATCACGAGGACCTCAAAGCGGAAGCGTCTCGTGCATCTGATTAACGTCAAAAGCAAAACTAACAATTGTGCTTTAGATTAACCTCTTAAGAGCTGTTTTTAAAAACAACACCACACCATTATTTTTAGGATAAAGGGCAGTTTAGCTACTCTGAAATGTCGTCGGAGGAATTTGAGAAGCTCCATGAGATCTACAAATCTCTGTTCGAGGAGCTGAAGCTGCTGCCGGAGAAAGCTCTGAGGAGCCAGGGAGGTAAATATTGTTGTTGTTTTATAAGCTAATGCTAACGGTAGCTAACAGTATAATAAAGGTTCTTTCTGTGCGGTGACACTGGATGTTGTTGTTGTTTACAGAGGAAAGGAAGAGACTGGTGAGGACCTTCGATGAGAGGAAGGGGGAGGCTGAGGAAGTGGTGAGCTGCCCTCTTTATTATCTTTCATTATGTGTTTTTTGTATAGGTTTAATTTCTGTTTATCGTGTATTTTTTTTTACAAGTTAATTACCTGTTATTAAAATGTGTTCATTATGTGTTTTTATAGGTTTATTATCTGTTCAATATCTGTTGTTTTGTATGTGTTATATGTGTATGTATATTATGTATATGTATAAATAAGAAAGGATGTGCCTAAAACATAAAAATACCTCCAAAACTACAATAAACATTTGATAAATAACTGTTAAAAATATTTACACTGTCTGATATATCTACTGCTTTTTCCTCAAAGCAATAAATAAGAGACAACACACACTGCAAAATATGCATTAAATGCAATTAGATTTATATATTTGTATTGTTTTTCTTAATGCATGTATGTGTCTTATTCATATTATTCTATTTTACTTGTGTTTTTATTGTTTTTCTTTATGGAGCCTCCTTAAAATTACAATATTGTAATACTTTAAAGTGGCAGGGTAAATGCACTTTCCACCACTATTGTTATAACTAGTTAAACACTCGTTCATTTTGCATGTGTTGTGTGTTTACCAGCACTTCACAGAGACAGAGCTTTCTCTTGAATGACTCTGTCTTTATATCGGTCTGCAGTTACAGGGAATGGATGAAGAGCTGCGTTCTGCTCCGTCCGCCTTCAGAAACATGATGAGCACAAAACTGCGGATGTACAACCGAGACCTGGGGAAGCTGCAGAGAGACATGAAGACCTCCGATTCTGGGTCCTCTGCTCAGGCGGGGGTGGGGAGTCATCCAGGCATCTACTCATCCGAAAACCAGCAGAGTGTGAGTGTGTGTTGGCTTGTGATATGTTAGAAATGCTGTTTGAGCACCACGTCCTCTCATCATGAGGGTTATCAACTGTTAGGAAAATATCCCTCATCACCGGCTTGAGCTTCAACCTCAGGATCCATGTATCTGTGATCCTCTCCAGAATGGAAGTAGTCATCACATACAGAGCATCAACTAGTTCCTGAACAGTGTCCTTCACATGCTGATATCCAAGAGAGGGAGTCACACAGTCACAAGATGGAGGAGTACCGGTTCTTCTAGGTAATCAAACATCCTGTCACGTACACAGCTACAGTTGGGATACCTTTGTTATCAT